TATTCTGCCACTGGCCCTCTCAATCCCCCTCCCACCTCCATCCCCTACCATATCTGCACTCAGTGGTTGGGCCTCCTTCCCCCCCAGGCCAGGCGTTCCACCGTCCACTTCTCCCCTAGAGCCTCGCTGAGAAATCTTGGGCAGAGCACTTCTGCTTCCTTGTGGTTCTGGACAAGTCGCTGCTCCTCCCTGGGCAACAGTTTCTTCACCAAGAAGAAACTACCTGGAGGGAGCTTGAGAGGACCATGCAAAAGTGCAAAGGTCTCTGGGCTTTTCAGGCCTAGGCATCAGTGGGGGGATGGGGAGAAGGTTTGAACAACATTTCCAGGCTCCAGGGCCTGGAATGCCCACCCCTCGCCTCTCTATCCCCTCCCTGAAGCATTCCTGGCCACCCCAGTCCTGGTCAGTCTCCTCCAGCCTCTGCATTCACAGCCAGCACTAGCGCCCACTTGGTGCCGAGCAGAGCACACAAACATCCTCTGGAGAGCTGTTCAAGGCGCAGTCAACTCCAAGAGGCTGCAGACCACATTCCTGTCCCATGGGCATTCACAATCCAGTGGTCCATCTACCTCTGTCTCCACCGGCCGGTGCCCTGTGCTGGCCTCACAGAGACCACCTTCCGAGATCCTGATCTAATCCCACAAAGCCTTTCCCCAGCAGTCACCTGTCCAGGCCAAAGGCAGGCTCCTGTCTCTGTGATGTTCTGTCACACTCACCTTGCAGTCACACGCTGCATTCCTACCCCCACCTTGCTGTCCCTCCGGAGCCCAGCTAAGAGCAACAAGCATCCCCAGGCACTGGACTCCACTAAATCCAGGGCCCCATTGCCCTCACAAATGGACTAGCCACTGGGGGTGCGAGGGCGGAGGGTGGGGGGGAGAGTCATTCTTTTTGTCTCCCTGCTGTTCTTTCAAAACCATCACTCATGGTCCATTCCCTAAAATCATATCTGACTCTTAAAGAAAAAAATACTAACTTTTCGTTATCATGGAATGTGAATGCTGTCATCATAACAAGGGCCTTTTAATGTCTGCATGGAATGTAAGATCTTTGTTTTAAAGCAAAATGACAAAGAACAAGGAAGCAACACATGACAGCCAACAAGCCACTTTCCTGAATGTATTAGTCAATGAGAAAGACAAACCACCCGACGCGAAAGTAGGCAAAAGCACTGTCTACACCGAGCTTACGATGCAGCTCTGAGTACTCTGCAGAGGAAATTGAGTAAATCACCCAAGCTCGCGCAGCTATAGTGTAGAAAATCCAGGATTTGAACATTGGCAGTTGGAACCAATAGATTATTTGCAAAAAAGGAAAATAAATTAGCAAATATGAAGAAAATGTTCAACCTCACCCAAATTCAGGAAATACAACAAAAATCACAGTAGAAAGTTATTTCGCCTGTCAAATTGTCAAAGACAGAAATGTTTGATAACAGCTTTCCATGCTGGTGGATAACAACACTTTGTCCTTTGTTGGTGGGATTATTAATAAGCACATCATTGGAGGGCAAGCTGGCAAAAGCCCTCAAAACAAAAGAGGCCTTTGCCCTTACATCAATAAATAAAATAATCATAATAGGCCTTTGCCCAAGTAGTTCTACTGCCGGGATCTTATCCCACAGATGTTCTCAACAAATGTGCATGTGGACCTGTAGTCTCTGCTGCTACTGTGGTATGTTCATGCAAAACTGAAACATCACAAATGCCTGCCGATAGGGAAATGATTAAGTGAGTTGGGCTACGTATATTCAGTGGAATGCTATTATCTGGAAAGAATAAAATCCTTTCTATACCGACTGAATTTTTAACCTTTATATATTGATTGCACAAGTTGCTGTAATTCTAAAAATCCCGCAGGCTCATGCGATACCACACGTACCTCCCTCCCCAGGGGCTGAATCCTGCTGGCCCACAGCCACCTCCTGCCCTCGCTCCCTTGTACTCACCAGGACACCAACACCTGGTTCCTTGATCCTCTCCACCCAGGTTCCCCCGTTCTCCATGCGGGTGACCCGCCCAGCATCTTGGCCTTCCTGTTCCTTGCGCTCCTCAATTCTTAGCCAGGCATGGTGGTGCGTGCCTGCAGTTCCAGCTACATGGAAGGCTGAGACGGAAGGATTGCCTGAGCCCAGCAGGTCGAGGCTGCGGTGGCCGGGAGTGTGCCAGTGCACTCCAGCCTGGGTGACAGAGTGAGACTCCAACTTAAAAAAAAAAAAAAAAGCTCCTCAATTCCAATTGCTTTCACTGGCACCATTTCCTCTTGTCTCCACCTGTGGTCACACTCTAGGAGCCTTGATAATGACTCTCTCACTGTCAGCAGGTGGGTTCCTGAACTTGGCTATTCTGTGTTCTCCCAGCCTACCATCCTCCTTCCGTCTTCCTTTCTGCCTCAGACCCCTTGATCACTCCCCTCCCTCTCTGACCCCTAACTCTTCAGCCTCCCCTGGACAAACATCCAGTCCTATTCGGCCTCAACACTGGACTTCTCTGCTGTCAACTGCAGAGCATCTGTGGGGAAAACCACACTCTCAGCATCTGGTGACCCCCAACTCAGTTCCCACTCCGCAGCATCCTTTTTGCTACTGGGCATCTCTCTCTGCCTCTCCCCGACCTCCTGGCTGCTACTGCAAAGCTTCTCCCCTCTCTTCCCATCCCCCATCCTGCACCCCCCCCCCCCCACCAAGAAAGAATTGTAGCATGCTTCTTCTTCTTGTTTTTTTTTTTAAAGATGTGGGATACAATTCAGGGTTAGGTATACAAATGTTCATTATGCAGGTGCCCTTGTTGATGAAGTGTGCCCCTCCCTCCTCTGACAGTTTCCCTCAACTGCCAATCTCACCACCACCCCCCACAC